ACTCTTTCTTTCTCTCGAGGGCAAACCATCTCGGATCGTATTGAACAGCTCATTCTAGGGGAGTAAAGTTGCTGTAAGAAGCACAAAGTCATGATGTTAACGAAACAGTATGTCTAAACACAGAGTCTACATAAGCATGATATGAATCAACTGGCGGGGAAAAAACGGACAGAAAATTAAACCCTCTTGCTGTAAGGTGTGAACATGTTTCACACAATAAAACAAGCGTCTTGTAACTATCACTTTAAAAAGTGATAGGGCTCAGATTTGAATCACTAGACTTTCTGTGACAATAAAAGACACTGGAAAAGTACAAAAACCAAATAGCCCACTCCAAATATATAAAGCGGGTGAAATTAAAGGGACACAACGTCCTAAAAAGCGCCCGTTTGGGCGTTTTAAATGTAAATAATATTATCGGAAAGAGCATTTAAAAGTAGAATATAATCGTCCACACAACCATACTTTGGCCGTTTTTGCGTTATTCTTGCGAGAATGACATTCGGGGGCCACAAATCTTGACTCTCAAAAAGGGTGCAAGTTTTAAATCCTGTCGCATGATTGAATCAGATCCTGCGGACATGTGGGAAACAACGTGTGTACTGTTGGCGTCTGTGTACTTGTACATTAATATGTGTACACATACGGAAGTGTACTGCCAAACCCACTAACACAGCCAACTCTACTTGCTATTGTTGCATCGCAAATGATCCACAACCCCTGTGGCGCTTTCAACCCACAATCCCCATGCATGAAAGACAACAAATGCTCCAAAGGATTCCCTAAAGCATTCATCCGAGACACACAAACCAACAATGATGGCTACCCTCTATACCGAAGGCGCCAACCATCTGATGGCGGATTCCAAACAACCAAAAATATCAAAGGAAAAGACGTTCCCATTGACAACACATGGGTAGTCCCATACTCCCCAGTGAGGCCAGTGAGGCCCGTTCCAGTGAGGCCTGTTGGCGAATTCTACAGTTCTCCATACATGAACATCACCCAGCAGTCGTCCCATTGCAAGTTCACCTACAAAATGGTCAACGTGTCATATTCACTGCTGACAATGCAACTCAGCGAGCAGAAACTCACAGCTTTCTTTAACCTATGTAGCAGCAACCAACCACTTCCGCAGCAACCTGCAACACCAACACAAGGCTTCATCTCCAACATGCTATACTGTGATGTGCCCACTTTAAACTTCAACTACAACGCCAAACAAAACATATGGACACCAAGAAAGCAAGGCAAAGATGTCTTCTTCGACAACTGCAAAACAACACTCAAACAAAGCACAATCATAGGTCGAGTGTACACAATACATCCAAAGCAACAGGAGTGCTACTTCCTCCGACTACTTCTACACCATCGCCGAGGACCGACATCATATCAGCAATTGCTGACTACTGATAACCACACCTGCACTACATTTCGCGAAGCCTGTAGTAAACTACAACTACTAGAAGATGACGCACATTGGAACTTCGCAATGGAAGAAGCTTCTATCTCTGCACATCCCCAAGCACTCAGGACACTCTTTGCAGTTCTGCTAAACAACTGTGAAATCTCCAGTCCCCTCGCCCTATGGGAAAAGCACCGCAATCACATGACAGAAGATATTCGCCAATCCTACAGACTAGCTTCAGCTCAACCACTCTTAGACTACTCGAACAATATGTACAACGATGAACTCAACCTCCTCCAAAAAACTTTGGAACGCATGGGAGGACAACAACTGCAAGCATATGGTCTACCTACTCCAAATCCACTGCCAACACTAGCATCAAAAGAACTACTACGTGAGCAATGTCATGACACAGCACAACTACAACTCCATGTCTCCACTACCGAACCACACCTCACAGCTGATCAACGCATCATTGATAGGCGAATTCAATGCTTATTAAACACTCATGAAGGAGGTCTCATTTTCATTGATGCTCCAGGTGGCACAGGCAAAACCTACCTCATCAACTTCTGCCTGGCACGTATAAGGTCCCAAAACAAGATCGCTCTCGCTGTAGCAAGCAGTGGCACTGCAGCACAACTCCTCTCCAATGGCAGAACAGCTCATTCTACTTTCAAGATACCACTAAACCTAATGACCACTGACAGGCCAATGTGCAATATCAAGCGAGGCTCTGGCTTAGCAACCCTACTTCAACACTGCACAGCCATCTTCTGGGATGAGGCTACAATGGCTCACAAAAATGCTCTCGAAGCACTAGACCGCACCCTTCAAGACATCCGTAACTGCACATCCATATTTGGCGGTATTCTACTCATCCTCTCAGGTGACTTTCGCCAAATACTACCAGTCATTCCTCAAGGGACCCGTGCAAACGAAATACACGCTTCCATCAAATCATCCCATCTATGGCAACATGTACATAAGCACTCCCTTACCACAAACATGAGGGTTCATCTGAAGAGCGCAAGCAACACCAAAGAATTTGCTGACCTTCTACTCACAATCGGCAATGGGACACTACCATCCACAGATGGTGCAACTGTACAAATCCCGAAATCACTTGGCTTAAACCTGTCATCACCAGCCGACCTCCTGAACCATGTATACCCCGACGTACACCTGCATGCCCACAACATCGATTGGCTCATCGAGCGTGCAATTCTGGCTCCACACAACGATACAGTCCGAGAAATCAACTGGCAACTACTTCAAAAATACCCTGGCAAAGAAACCGTCTTCACATCCATAGACACAGTCCCACAAGATGACCAAGCCGTGCAGTACCCATCAGAATTGCTTAATTCCCTGCACACCTCTGGAATGCCACCTAATCTACTTACGTTGAAGGTTGGAATACCAATAATATGCCTTCGCAACCTCACACCAACAATGGCAAACGGTACCAGAATGATCGTCACAAACATCACCCCCAACTGCCTCCAAGTGACCATTGCAACAGGACCAGCAAAGGGCCAAACATCTTTCATTCCACGCATCCCTTTAATTCCCAGCGACTCCGTCTTGCCATTCTCCTTCAGAAGAGTCCAATTCCCTGTACAACTCTGCTTTGCCATGACCATCAACAAAGCCCAAGGCCAAACACGTGAAGTAGCCGGCCTGGACCTCAGACGTCCCTGCTTCACCCACGGTCAGTTCTACGTAGCCTGCTCAAGAGTCAGAGCTGCCAAACACCTGTATTTATTCGCACCCAACAACACCACCTCCAACGTTGTATACAAAGAAATCCTCAACTAAATCAACTCCTCTACAGGTACAGTTGTCGATCCTTCCTTTCACACAAACCCAACTTTCTACCCTACAGCCATCCATTTCCCTCCTTTGGCTGGCCCTCCACCGCACACTCTATTCGACATCCCCCTACTCAACATCCAACCGCACCCGATCATGATCGGGTACTACAGCTTGTTATACCATACATTGAATCGTCTGACAGAAGCTGGCATGGCAACGGCTTGAAGTACGTATGCGTATGCCACAAAATTTCCATCACGTCAGAAGTAAACAACTGGGTATTTTTTCCCGTCTTTTCTCAGGACCGGTGAGACATTTAGCTTCCTTTCAACCAGACCTTTGAAATAGGATAAGTAAACAATCTTAAACATAAAATGTCGGTGATTTCAGAACGATGTGCCCCTATAAAGTGCGACAGCGCACATTCATTTACCATTTAACCCTTATTCATAAATACCTAAGACAGTTTACGCATTCCTATTGGTCGAGAGCCCGTCACGTGGCCGGTCTTAAACGGATGATAAAGACATGGCTAGCTGGTCTTAAACACTTTTCCAGTGTCACAATAAAATGTGGACTCCTAAAAATCCAGTGCCTCTTATCGTTTCATTGGTTGAACTTTCACAATCCTCACGTAGGCATGCGCAACACTACCAGGGAGTCAGAATTTTATAGTTCTAAATTCAAAACGCAACGAGCCAGGTGCGTTCTGCGCGACATCGCGCAGAACATGATAAGCGCGCGTCAATCTCCATAAAAGGGTTGTTTACATCTTACTCGCCAGCTGAACATTCCATTATTTTGCAAGAGGGATGTTTCAAAAAGCATAAAGTGAATTTGTTGAACAAAATCGGGATGTTTTGAACGAATAATATGATTTTTTTTACCGAAAAGGGGAAGTTATGAATGGGAATAAATATGTGCTCCGTCGGTATTTATCACTCTGTTTAAGACCACTTAGAGTCTGGGTGCTGATAATTACCCTCGCCTCCGGCTCGGGTAATTATCAGCACCCAGACTCTTAGTGGTCTTAAACAGAGTGATAAAAACCTCTGGAGCACACATTTATTCTCTTATTTAACCTATCAGTCTGAACAAATTCTGTACTGTAAACTTGTGTATTCTAAGTGCATGTGTGAGCCCAAAATTGTCCATGCAATTAGGTCATAATGGTCGACGCAATAATTACAATTTTTGTGATACATGTAAATTTCACCCTTTACAATATGGTCGAATAAAATATGAACATTTGCTTTATAAATGAATAAGGTCCTCTCTCTCTCCAAGAAGTATAGCCGAAAATGTCTTGACTGAGAAGTGCTTCAGCAAAACACTCTCTAAAGATGTCAAAAAGGGATAAGCCACGATAGAATTCCAATTCTCAAAAATCATTATATTTCGAAAAGTCGAAAACCCTAAAGTCATTTTATGCTCGAAATTTGAAGAACTAACAAAACGTTACATTTATGCATTACTTCAGTTTCCAACTCAGTCACATATCACAAAGAGGCAAACGTGCGAAATTTCAACTCAATTTTCTCAAAATCCCATTTTTAATTTTTTTTTTTAGTTAGGCTGTTTTGCAAAATAGCGACAAATGTTTGACATTTGACATTTTGGCTGATATTTTTTTTTCTCTTGCTATGTAAATCTTTCCTGTGTTTTATAAAATTCTCTGCTTGAGAGGTCCATAAATTTGAATCCTGCCATAATAATGATGCTATGTTAGCAAACTCACTTTTTAAAATCTTATGTATATTTTTTTCAAACTCACCAGGATGAAGTGCATTCCCTTGTAGAGCCGACTGAAGCACACCAGCAGAGTCCAAGAACAGGCCAACAGGGTACCGAGAGTATGCGAATACTATAGTTGAGGATTAAAAATTACAAGTATAGATACACAAAACCTTTGGAAAAAATAAAGGTATACATGTAGCCCTAGTCTATGGCCCGCACTGGAGTAGACTCTGCATGCCGGGCCATACGTGCATTGCTTCCCAAAGTTGAGGATTTGAGAATAAAAAAAAACACCAAAAATTTTATTGCAGTCATTCCAACTCATACTCGGAAGGCGGGTTCACTTACCCTTACCTCTCAATATTCCCCCAAAATTAGGACTTCCTCGAGCTTCCTTCTGATGAAATTCGACTCTCATTACAAATTAATTTATTTGTCAACCCACAGTTTCTTGCTCTATTATCAACCGAAGTGGAAGGAGTGACAAGCAGCTAGCCGAGTATAGTTGGTTCTCTGACCAAAATATTTCCCTTTCTTTATCGTACACAAGTGAAGGGCACCGCGCCTGGTATATCATATCCGAAAAAACCCATCACATTCGGGATCAGAACAGCCAGCCAATCACAGTGCCGTGCGCCTCGTTTCAGCATAAATAACCCAGACGTTCGCACTGTGATTGGCTGTTCTGATCCCGCATGCGATTTTTTTTTTGGATATGATACGGCCATAACCACGCGCGGTGCCCTTCACGTGTGTACGTTAAAGAAAGGGAAATATTTTGGTCGGAGAACCAGACTACTTATACTCGGCTAGCTGCCTGTCATGAACTTCCACTTCCTATCCGTTGACAAATTATTTTGAATAAGAGACAAATTTCACCACAAGGAAGCACGGGGAATTTCTTAATGTGGGGGAATATTGAGAGGTAAGAGTAAGACCCGCCTTCCGAGTGTGAGTTGGAATGATTGCAAATACAATTTTTGGGGTTCTTTTTATTTTCAAATCCTCAATTTTGGGAAGCAATCTACGTATGGCACATCATGCAGATCCAGTGTGGGTCATAGACTAAGGCTAGTATACGTGTATACCGAATACAAAAATTGACAGAAAATAAAATAACTTCACTGAGTAAAGAACAGGAATATTTTATTCAAACTTTAGGGAAGCATGCAGCTACATTTTTACATAAATTCCTATATCAACCACAGAAGATGCCTGCAATTGTTCTGCAACTAGTTTATGAAATATTTCAACAGGTACGCTTGTTAATAGGGAAAACTGTAACACATTCGGTTTGCACACATGTGAATGGGTCATCAATTCGTATAATTCAATGTCATTCCATTTGCTCCAGTTTCTCAAGATTAATAGTAAAATAATACATATTGGGTATGTCCATAATAATTCATAATGTTATTAGAAAAGAATTCCATACACGGACATCACTAATTTTTCCCTGCAGTGATAAGAAAGCGATGTCCTAAAAAGTCAAATTTAGCAGGAAAAATATTGAAGCATTTACTCACTCAGAATTTCAGGCCAGTCTCATAATTCATAGGGTTTGTGCACAGGGTGTCAAGTGATGTCCAGGTATGGAATTCACTCCTATAGGGTCCTCCTAGTTACGTGACAACTAATTGACATATCATTATCAAAACTGTTTCACAAACTTTCAGGAACCTAAAGACAAATCAAATTAAAACATTTAAAAAATAAAGTATTTTAGGGCTCTTTTTCTCACCTCATAATGATTCCAAGTAGCTGCCAAATATGTGAAGGGCATCAATGTACCGACCATAGCATGAGTGGAGGGCATACCGTATTCCATGAAGTACCGTCTCTCCAAGCGCACAACTGGCGGCTCACTTGGCCGTGGCCATTTCAACAACTCTTTGCTGGCCTGCCCGATGTACATGCAGATGCCCCAAAGGATGAACATACGACGGGTGGCCCACCACGATAGATTTGCTACTGCCATGGGAAAAATCATGAAATAAAACACGTCGTCACCGAGCATCGCCCCCATGGAAAACAGGTGGAACCACCACTTGTTACGGACAATGTAGCACTTCGGTTTAGCCCCAGCCCTGGCCCCAACCCCGGCTCCGACCACCGTGCCGTTGTGTTCAGCCCCTGCCGACCCCACGGTGCCATTTTCGGTAGGCCCCTGGCTTCCCGCCGCGCATTGGTCGTTACTCGTCCCGTTGGCCACTGAGTGAATTCCGTTCTCCGCCAATGTTGGTGCAGGATATAGTCCAAAGAATCGCTGAAGCCCTGCCACGGTGGACGCATCGTAAAGTGGCAACGAATTGTCCTCCGACGAAGAGCCGAAAATTTTAGGCCATGTCATCTTCATGATTGCTGACTTTGAATGGCTTCTTTCTTATTACTAAATAGGCCTTGATCGAATCATTAGCCGAATCAGACCCCTGATTTCGTGTACGTGTTGCTAGCTGGTGCTTAGCGCTAGCAACTGTACGACTACACGGACGACGTACGTGCCGCGCCGCGTGCCGTTGTTGTCATCAGATCAGGTGTATATTATTACTTACTGCACTGGATGTTTGACCTATTGAGTTCACTGTCCCGCCCATATTCATGCAAGATGAGACTACAAAAGTTCGTTTACCTCACAGTTTGCTTTCCATGCTGTGAACTATTTTTATTGGACGTCAAGTGGCCCATTGTTTTATTTCTTTTGTTCGGAACGACGACCTACTTATATACGGAAGAAGGCGGATTTAGTCCTATCCTAAAATTGGATGTGATAGACAAGTTGCAGAACATCCCTTTTATTAATCCTACTTTGTGGTGCAAACTTACTATCGGGGAAAGAGGACTGTGCGGAAATCCCTGATGAGTAGTGACACTGTTGTCACTTTCCCTCATAATCAGCTTATCACAATCAGTTTAATATGATTACATGTATTATGGATGCTGAAATAATACAGGCGCCTTGATCAGCTTCAATCCGATTCGCCTCAAACAGCCCCGCTCGTGTAGCGATTACTTAATCTATACATGCGTCGTTCCAATTCCCGCGAAAACTTCACAAGCAACACTTGACAACAATATTTGATGAGTTGATGTCATGGGACCGGATACAACACATTGAATAATATTGTCACTTGTACTTATATGAGATAAATGACGTAACCAGCTCCATGCTTTATGATAGCTTAACAATGGACACATCGATTGAGTGGGCCTAGTATTATAGTAAGAAAATATTTGTTCTCGGGATTTGTTCCGAAGACTATACTACTAAGTAAGTGCGTCCCTTCAGTGACACCATGGGCCATTCTCGATGAATAGTTTTTTTTCCTCAAAGAGCGTACGTCACGCGCGGGAAAGTTGATTTTCTTTCTCCTAACGAATTTTCAATTTGTATGTTCTGTTTTAACGAAATAACTACTTTATTTAAATTTCAGGCGTCTGTAACCCTCTGAAAAATGGATTTCATTTTGCGCTCAAAATTAAAGAACCCGCACAGCCCTGCGGGAGCCGAATTATTGTTTGACACTTTGGTAGCCAATCAATAATTCAAACCTTGTGAAGAGACAATTCAATACGTAAACGTCTCCGCATATTTTTTTCTTTTGAAGTCTCTTTCAAAGGTGAACAACTTTTAAATTGCTAGGAAAATAGCTATTGAAAAAAATCCAATCTACTTTTCCAGGTGAAACTCGAGGGAACGTATCTTTAAGAAATTTGGCGTTCCATATCACTGCAGCTGGCAAACTTGTTTGTTACCCAACAAACCATCACCATATTCCAAGTACACGATATATCATCATGACTCTTCATAACTCACAAAAGGTATAAGGGTTTTTGTGTTTCCCTTCAATGAAATACGTAGGCTACGTCGTGCGTACGTTAGGCACGTACATCAAATAACTTTTTTTGCCGGGGTTTGCCGCCATAACACGTCAAATTCTCAAATAAAAATCATATTGTAATAAGTATTGATCTCGTGATCACTTGTCAAACAAAACAAATTCTACCCTGAGAGTGTTAAAAGAAATTTGAGGTCACAGGCCTATTGAGAATTACAAAGTCAAATGAGCATGAGGTGTCTGAATCAGTTGGCTACGACTGGCAATTACACACAAGTCTATGGCAAGTGGCTGCAGCCGCTAGACAGGGGCTTCCATAGAAGCGCGAGTTGTTGTACACTGCTGTACTTATAAAGTGATTCGGACACGGGCTAAGCATGCATTAGAGGATTTAGAACCAGGTACGTGGACACCAACCTCGTCCCCAGTGCTTACTTTATTTCCAACCACGCTTCCAATAGTAAGCCCTGGATAGGAAACTTCCTTCCTGTATCCTGATTCGATAGCGCAATATTGGCTAGTAATGGATTTTTATCGTGTACTTGGTGTTCATTATTCACAACGTGCAATACGTGTTTTCGCGATCATTCGTCCACGCCTTCTCGAAAATACTAATTTTCTTTCCAATTTGTTCATATTAATATGAAATGTGATACTGCATGTTGTCTCGATAAGATCGTAACAGTTTAATTAAATAAATCGTGTTTTCGTAACTCACGCCATGCTCGCGCTGCGACGAATTGATTTTGTTTTTACCCCAGACCCCGCATACAAAAACAAACGCTAATGTAACGCACATGCAGACACCATACTATTCCTCATTTGCATACGTGTTCAAAAATCTTGCACATGCAAAATGATCCAATACCAGGGTGAGAGAGCAGGTAGTGGTGGGCGCGTACTGTTCGACACCCTGGGGACGAGGTTGGGTGGACACTAGTCTATGGAATATTCCCTTGCACAGCAATGGCAATGCGAGCAGATTCGGCGATTAGTGCAAAACAAGACTGCGTCTGCGGATTCTGACCAGCGGCCGCCTTCTATCGTGTCTTCGGTAACCAGTTGCTGTATTACAAAAATGGCATCCAAATAATTGACCAATCAACAGTTTAGTCCACATTCTGATCGAGATGACGTCACAGCTTTTAAAATTGACTCCGATTGGCTGGCCCGCGGGGTCGCATACAAGTTGCATGTTAGGACATATCGTTCGCCCGTGGTTCTGCACAAACTAATGTCTGACCCTCACTATAGGTGGAAACCTGGTGGTGGCGCTATAAAAAAAAAAGCATCGGAGGCAAGTTCAGGAAGCTTAAAGGGCCGGCGCGGCCGGCGGCCGGGTGCAACTAGCTCGCATGCCTTTATAGGTACCAATGATAAATCCCCCACTTCAAAAAAAAATATCGGGGAAATATTCAAAACTCTCACAGGTGATCAACACATACATCCAATTAAAGCTTGATTTACCCTTTTTCACATTCTGTTCAATTTTGGCCCCGTTGTCCCCCCCCCGATCCGCCCTTGGTTTAGGTACGGCTTTAAATGAGAGACACAAATCTATAATGGAGTTCCAAAGACGACACATTACTGAAGAGGCAACGCCGATGGTGACGGAAGGGCGACGGAGACGAAAGGACGACGGCACGACGTGTCGCCGTCACAATCGCCCTAGCGTCTGCGTCACCGTCGACGGGTACCGTCGCCCCTACATCTGACCGAAGCGCTTGCATGTTTGATGTACTGGGGCGCCGTTTAATTCTATTTAATAATTCTATTTCACTCCACGCACAAAATAAACAGCGCCCCCAGAGTCCAAAAAACCAAACACCTTTCCCATAGTGCCAAAGTGCCAAAGGGTGCACGCCTGTAAATAGGCCCAAAATCCGTCCGCCAAGCTCATTATACCCTCAAAATATTCTATATTAGAGAGTTTTGAGAGCCATAAAATTGGGGAATTGAAGAGATATGGTAATGAACCTCTGGCCCGGACTTGGGGCTTCCAATTCTGAGCATTTTGGATGCTATTGGGCTCGAAAGTGGCGCTATTTTGACATGTTGTGGAGGGATCGTTTTTCAAGATGGCTACTTTTTCGCTTTGGGGAAAACAGGGGTCGTCTTCTTTGGGTGAGAATATCTCGAAAAGTCAATGGTCAATCCACCAAAAAATGAAAAGAAAAGGAAAGATGACATGTTGATCATCATTTTTCTGTGCAGCTTGGCTACCTGTGAGAGTTCTGAGTATTTTTAAAAGAATTTTGAAGTATGGGCATTTAGCACAAGTGTCTATGGGAATTTATTTGCAGGGGTGCATCCCTAAGATTCTGACTACTCAGGGGAAGGGCGCCGCTGACGGCAGATAGGTAAAAAAAAACCCAAAAAAAACCCCCACCTTTTTCAAAAAAAAAAAAATAATGTTGGCACTAACGGGCTTTCGTAGTAACCCCCAGTTGTTGGGTTTTTTTTTTTTTACGTTTTACGCGTCTATACGTATTTCCAGCAGCGATTGAAGCCATCGCTTTTAGTTAGTTAAATATAAATGGCCAACATAATGACGCAAAAGGTTTGACATTTTGAATCGTGGGAAATCAGGTCCATTTTACTTTCAGCACGTAATGTCCATGTCGATCCTCCTATCCTAAAATATATAGGCCAAGCGCACACGCACTGCTTGCTCATTTCGGGAACAAAATGTACCCAGGAATTTCTTCGCTCGGCAATTACAATCATGAAACCCAAGGTGTATAACGTTTATATGTTCTGCTTTTAACGATCTTTCCAACTTTTTCATCGTTTCGTTTGAGACACGTCTTATAGCTCAAATTGGGCGCACTCCTGACGAGTGTCCTTTGAAAATTTCCCGGATAAATTCCGTAGGTTGCGGATCTAGGGAAGGGGGAAGGGACGGGTTGCAACCCCCACCCCCACACGCTGACTAATGTTATGATACTAGTAAAATGCGGCCAAATATAAATAAATTTAAATGCTAAATACCCTAAATTTCCTTTCAAATTGCATTAGCGCGCAGGAGAAAGCATCATAGATTTCGAAATGTTACGGGCAGGGAGGGGGCGGGGCTTCGGCACACCTTCACTCCAATATCAAACCCCCGTTTCCTGAAAGTTTAGACTCCGCCCCTGATTGTCTAACTGAGAGTCCAACAGCCGGGATTGCTCCATGGACCAATACAGTGAATAAAAACCTGATAATAGGTGAAGCATAACAACTTTCAAAAGGGCAAGTTTTCCGATCAATAAATAAATCATTATAAAGGAAACATTTGCAATTATGAAATGACAACTTCTGGACACTTCAACATAATTTTTTTTTAGATAAATTTATTCTTATTTTCTTAACATTAAAAGTGGATTTTAGACATATTTTTATATTATTTGTGGCATATAGCATGCGGCACAAATCGTACAACACAACCGACAAAGGGCAAGTGTCTCCACTTATTATCGACAAAATTACATTTACTTCCATCTTTCATTTCTGTTCAACATGTAAAAGTGTTCCCTGTTTTGAGCTCAGCATAACAGGAAATTCCTGGCTCGTTCTCCTTCAATAAGCAAATATTTTCACACTTTTAACGACTTGTGTATTTTCATTATGCATGTATTGGAGAAATTTCAAAACCTGAAATCGCACACCAATAATTCGTCCTTAGATTGAAAGTATCAATGTTAATAAACCCCTTGCAAAGAGTGCCATCACTGAGGACAGGACTTTATTACTCTGCAATACCGAGTTTCAGGCATGCAACTGGAAAGTCACAAAAAAAGAGGAAATTACAATCTTTCCAAGACTTTGTACAGTGTTTTTCTTTTTTTCAGTGACACCCATGGTAGGTCAAAACAGAGGAAATCAGCTGATCCGAGGAAAAGTTGCAAGCCTGAAGTATGAGTAACATACATTTAGTCACTGAATTCAATTAGCAAAACATGTTCACAGTGAGGGCGCTTTGTGCAAGAGGTCTTTTGCAATTTATCATCTGAGAACACTTACCACAATTTACGTTCAATTTAAAATAATCATCAACGTTTTTCATTAGTAAGGCAAACCCTTCACCAGTAAACATTATCCAAAACCACAATTATTTGATTTGTTTTCAATAAGCACTACCAGTCACACGACAAAAATCTTATTTGGTAGGTTTTCTGCATTTGAAAAATTAGTTACATATTATTTTTTTATTAATAATAATTTTTTTTGTATCTACCATCTTTGATACAACTGATTTGAATAAAATATGTGATGGGACAGTATGCCTAAGTAAAAAAAAACCAAAAAAACAAAACAAAAAACAAAAAACATGTTTAGCGTCATGCCTTTTTGAAAAAAAAGGAAGCGGGAGCCCCCCCACCCTTTGTTTTTTCTCCAAAATGGCCACCCCACCGGGCTATTTTTCAAGAATGCCGCCATTTTTTTTTTTTTTTAAATGGCCGCCATTGGACTCAGGAAATGACATGGGCTAGAGGCAACAGACAACGCAGTCAAAATTATGTCACTGTTTAAAATTTATACATTTTTCGGTTAAAAAAAACAGGAGGCAGCCTCCAAAAAGGAAGTGGGCGGGGACGCTAAACATGTTTTTTAAATTTTTTTATTTGGCCTAAGAAAGGTTGATGAAAGAGGCTGATTTGACATGATTACTACACCGGCCTAACCAATGAGTCCAAGGTCCAGTTGCATGGATCTGCAAAGCACCAAATATTATTGATTAACATGAGTCATATCATAAGCAAACTCAGCTTAGACTAAGCGTAATCCTGCCCCGTCCTTTTGGCTGGAAAGCCTTGTTTGCTTTGCAAATATTTCCCGTGCTAAACAAATGTATGTGCTTAGCAACTTTAATTAAAGAGACTCCTAATGGATAAATGGACTATGAAAGATTCAAGATATGCATCTCTTAAACTCATAATCCCCATATAAAAACAGAAACTGCTGTTGTGAACACTGTGTTTAAATTTTGGTTATGAATAAAGCAACAAAAGGATCCATGAACCGAAACTTATTTCGGTTTTGTTTTGTTTTTGTATGAGTGTCCTGACACACACACACACACACAAAAGACAAGGCCACAAGTGCTACAAAAGGCGTTTTCTTTTAAATTCTTTAAAAGCTGCATGCAAAGGTACTGGTATTGTAAGTTGCCATATACCCAACCAAGGCCAAAGATTCAACTAAACTACATTGTATACATTATATAACTGTTAAGAAATGACATGAAAGATGAATGGAGGCTAGTTCACCTAGTTGTGTGCGTTTTCACATACACATCCAACAATTATCACAGTGTGTAGAAAGGTGTCTAAAGTGGGAACAACTCAAAAGAGTTGCTATGTCCACTAAAACGCTAGTTGCTATGAAAGAGTTGAACTACATGAACTACATGTACCTCATAACCATAGAGCTATATTAAATTACTAGAGCGCTAACTCCTCATTCTTGCGCGAGGAGACGCTTTGAAGCCGCTCTGGGTGCAGACATTTTAAATTTATGTGTGTATTTGTAGAACACAATCAAAATAGATGGATTGAATTTTAAAAGTGTACTCTAAATGCAACGCGCGCGTAGAAGATACGCAAACAACTTAAGTACGTCATGACGGTTCAAAAAACGTCACGGCGAAAAGCATCTGCAGCGGAGGGACGCGCACACGTTGCGCTGTTTGCGTAGAGCAAAATGAAATGCTCATTTGCTGATCGTGCGTTTCGGGTTTGCGGTATGGAATACAAACGCAGATATGCAAATAGCCGTACAAAAGCCGTACAAAATTTCGAGTTTTCCATAGGTTTGTGCATCGAGTTAGCACTCTAGTAATTTAATATAGTAATTTAATATAGCTCTATGATCATACCGCACTGCGAAGGCAACAAAGCCATGAAAGCACTTGACAAGGTCCTGCAAACCACAACAGCAGCAACACTAAATACTGGTTAGACACTACAAGCTTTCATCACACAGATAATTTGAATTCGTATTACAATGTGCCCAAAAAGGAAACCAATAAATAAAATTACGAAAGACCGAACTAATGTCATAGGCCTAACTGTTCGTAATCATATATGATACTGGGGATAATCAAAAACAATGGCGCCCAATTAAAGTGTACATTCACATCTCTGCCTCAAACATGTTTAAGATTGCCTAATATCATCCTTTCTCATCATGTGCAAAATGTATCAGCTGGCCATTCTCGGTCTTTCCAATACACATATCGGGATTTTTATCAGTCTATAAAGACATGTACAGTACATACATGTACCGGTACATGTAGGCTCCATAACTCCGGTATATTATACTTTTTACTTTCTTCATCTTTAAAAAAGATGAGGTCTGCCACTAACAAATATACAAAGTTTTTCTTAAATCTACATTTAACATTACTCACTGGCATTTCAAAATGTAAAACTGGCAGACATCTACACTTATTGCCCCCAACAAAAGTACTCTTTTGCTTTGACCCAAAACCCATGGTACATTATTGTCGTCTACATGTAATGAGCCTCATGCATTGTTGGCCATTTTTGTCGAGTTCCCTGAACGTATTTCATTAATTGTTAACTGTTGAATGGGATGGCGCCAGACTTTTTATGCAGGCTTAACCCTTACCCTACTAGACCCTCCAACGCATGCCAATATGTGCCTCAAGAAAATCTCCTATGTTTTTTGCATGGCCCTCCAATATCTGCCATGTCATTTCAAGGGTAACTGGACAGGCACTCCAATACATGCCACAGAGAACAATGAGAGTCCTCTGATAACAAAGTGAGTGCCCCCAGCTGGTCAGTATCAGGCACCCTCCAGGGCCTCCAACTCCTGCCAATTGGAGCATTCACTGCTAAATAATACTATCTGCCAATAAACTGCAGCTGGAGGGCATTGGCATAACCAGCTGATATGCAGTAAACTACCCTCAGAGAGTAAGGGTTAATGCAGCCTTATTTTACTGTCATTTTTTGGGGGATAATTTGGCTTTAAACCTTTAGTGAATGTTTAATTACAAATTTTGAACTACTAATTGAAGCAGACTGGAATTAATTAGTAATTAAGTTGCTTTCATTTCTCTTTGGAAGTTCCAAAAACGAAAATTTTTACCTCACTTTCAATCCAATATGGCCGACTCGTGAATAATGCCCATGGCTTTTATGTGGTACCAGTCTTGCAAATCGCATTGAATGTTGGCCTAAGCCCTGCATTTCTGTATCAGAAAATCATGAGAACAGTAATCTCAAAAATTTACAATGCCACTCAAAGTCTTAGTACAAATTCAAAGACATTTTACACTTCATATTCACACCACGTTTATGTGTAAATGCATGTATCTTCTGCTGATAAGTGCCTGCAGTACTTGTTGAAAGGTGACTTGCAAATTTACTTTCACTGCAGATAAATGTACTAAATACTGACACTTGGGTGCAACAAGTGTGTTTTTATTTTGGCTTGTACGTAGACCCACACATCCATGCAAATGCAAGTTCAACGTTGGTGTCATGTACATGTACACATATTAAATGTGTCCAGTTTACCCAAGAAAACATGAAACCATTTAACTACCACACAGTTCGTAAGCCAGCAGTTAAAAACATTACGGTACACCACTGAACAGCATAAGTCTACATTAGAATGGAAGGGAGGAAGAAAGTTCAAATTAAATGAAATCCTTAAGAATGGTCTCAAGCTTGCTCGTCACCCATTGCCCCCACATGGATATTCTTTACACCCGAACACATGTCCATCCCGGAATATTGCCTTCATTGCGTTTGACACAGCCTTTCTTACTGAATCCAACCCGTCTATAGCTGAGAGGATCACATGGACTTCACAATTTTGTGAATCACAGATGCATTAACTAACTCCCTAGGCCTTTTTGCTAGGATGTAGCCTCAATCCTGCAAAATTCTCCAATTAGCCTCAATCCTGCAAAATTCTCCAATTGGCCTCATGGAAAAATAGCATATAGCCTCAATCCTGCAAATTCCTCCGCTATTTCTTGAATATGGTCCATGGAGGGGTGACCACTGCCTGAATCCTGCAAAATCCTCCGGCTATGACTGTCAATAGGCTGAGGCAGAGGCAGTGACATCCTGGAGCAGTGCGGAGGATGTCAAGTATAATCAAGGACTAAATTTATGCACGGCTGAGCATAAACAACACAAGGTCCGGCCCAAGACCTTGACACAGTGCGTACTCCGAAATCAGCAACCCACTTTTGCCATGTAACCTCAATCCTGCAAATTCCTCCAATTTGCAAAAAGGATTTTGGAGGATTCAGGGTGGTTAGGGTTAAATAAGAAACATTTTGCACCTGGCTGGGAAAAAAAAAATAATGTTAGTGTACATATTTCTTAAAACATGTACCTTTAGTATTAAGCAAACCATTATGGCTAGGTATCAAAATAATCCTACCCATGTTAAACTTTTGTCATCTGTTTCTTAAACAAATGTTTTCACAATACCACTCACACCACAAAGTGACACCCGGTGGTCCCTCAGTTTTCGTGGTTACGCGCGCACGTAATTTTGGTGTTCACGGACTGACACGTCACGCAAGTCTAGAGAGTTTTTGTCTTCTTTGTTTTCATGAATTGATACTCCTCTATTAGTTACTGAATTTCTAATTATCGAAGTAACTGTTGAAGTCAAGATTGCGTTTCAACAGTTTACAGGTTTTTGCTTCAAATGATTCTCTAACCCCACACGTACCGGTGTAGCATGAATTTAGGTTTTATGAAATACGGACTCATTGGTGGTATTGCGCATGCTCATGCATGGATAATTAGAAGAGGGACCGGTCACGTGAGAGGGTTTAACCAATAAAAGGGAAAAAGAGTCCGATTTTCATACGAGTCCGATTTTCATATGACACCGGTACATGGATGGAGTAAACTGGTCCCAAACCTTTCTACCGGTAATTGTTTTCTCCGAATGGTATTATTGCCACAGTGCTTGCGTGCCAGTTTGTGAAAACCAAAATTTATCATACGCATTGCTTCACACACACACACACACAAATCTGCGCGCACACAGCGCGTGCTTGTCAGTTTGTAAAAACAGTGACGACATATGTACATATACATGAATAAGTGCATGATGACAACCATTGCTGCATCTGCCTGTATGGTGCCTGATGTTTATCAAATAACAAGTCAACTGCTTTTGTACCACATATAATCAGCTTGCATTTTGTCAGATATTCAGAAACTTATGACCAGGAATGACTATTTGAAATGAGGACTTTATCTCGTCTTGTAGACAATTCGCAGATTGCCATCACAGTGCACTCACATCTTCAATGGCAAACGTATTGTATTGCTACTATACAAAGCAACTGCCCATGCATTATCTGAGACCAGAATCATGTTGCGGCCATCTTGATTTTTTTTTCCCATTCAAATCAATGTAACCAAAGCAAGGCTGCAAAGAAAAATAGTCTGGTTCTTTTTTTGCACAAAAAATTACTATTCTGTGTACTGTTATTGGATACAGGGAACACGACTGAAATGATCGCAGCATGAAAAAGGTCTATAGCGGGTACAATGCTGTTGCCATTGAAGAGAGTCTCTGGGAGTGTTCAGTGATAGTGGGCTTGGACTGGGCCAATTTCATAGAGCTGCTTAAGCATAAAATTTGCTTAAGCACAAAAAAACCTTGCTTAATATAATCAGGTTACTGGCCAAAACACCATGCGATGTACATTGCTTGTGACTGGTATTTGGCTGTTGTGTACTTAACATAATAATCGCATGGAGTTTTGGTGGGTAACCTGATTATATTAAGCAAAGGTATTTTGTGCTTAAGCAAATTTTATGCTTAAGCAACTATATGAAATTGGCCCCAGGTCTAGATACACATCCAACTTGATTTGATAGCACCTCTCTAAATATTGTTTTTAGTACTTTCTCTAATATTTTTTTGGGCTGCAAAGCAAGTGCTGAGCCATAAAAATAAGCCTTAATTACCCCAACTGTATCTGTTTGTTACTCTGTACAGTTCTATTCCAAGTAAACTCTAATCCAGCCCAAACCATGTGCAAGCCCTTGGCCCTAGCTGGTACATTACAAGCATGGTGCATACATGTGGGATGTAGCCATATAGAAGCTGAATGCTCAGCCATCTCTTGGTGCTCACGTTGACTGGGATGTTGAAGCCGGCGCGGAGAATTTGCTTGATAATGAACTTTTGTCCAAAGAACACAATGATGGCCGAAGACTTGTAGGTGAAGTAGCGGGCGAGCATGATGCCGGCAGTGGGCAGATCGGGCCATTTGATGGTGCCCCCTAGGGGTGCATGGGCGTCGGGCACCAGGCCGAAGTAGTGGTTACACCAGAAGGCACACAGCCCACCACCCACGGTACCCAGGATCGAGACGGTGTCGTTGCGGGAGGCACCAATGCCATCCGGAGTCGGGTAGACAATGATCAGGAGGATGCTGACAGTGATGATGATGACTGGGGCATAGGGGTGGGTCAGGCTGAAGTGGTCCAGGGTGTCTAACCAGGGCCAGATGAGTGCCATCAGGAGGGCTGCCAGGGTCACACCTGCTATCAAATCCTATATCAAATTCAAGACAACAAAAAAGAAACCCTTCATTCATACAACAGCCATGTAGAGCTAAGCAGGGCAATGCTTATCAGAACTGTAGATTATCAACATGCCATTACCATCTCAGTCCTCACAGGTACATGTAACTTTGACCCGCTCTGAAAAAACAAAACACTGCTCAGTATTTTTCATCAAACTCTGAGGAGGCCAAACGGCCATAACTGACCACAAGGACATCCTAATTTTTGCACAAAGTAACATTTTATGGGTTGTTTAATGACGTGACAAGGATAAAAGTCAACATCATTAATTACAATTCTCTCAATGTTTCATCTTGTTTCCAGTAATACCGATCACATGAAAACAAATTCGACACAAAATTCTTACAATCCCCAAAATTGCAATTTTGATTTTTCTTTTTGTACACCATGGTTTTGCAGAGAGCCAGTTACAAACATTTGGCAAGGGTGAAGCAACTCAGACAAGTGTGATAAAGCCACTTGCCCAAGGGTGCATGGCTGCATGCACCATGGTCATTTTGGGAAGCAGACAGTACATATCAGAGGGTGAAATTTGACCAAAAAACGGCTCACCCCCAAAAAATGACTGTGCACAATAAATTTTTAACTGCCACATGCACTTACATGTAGCATGCACTTACAGAACAAAGTCCATTCGGACAAACATTTTATTTTTTATTTAACTTTAATTGAGCCTTAAAAAATATAAACGGTAACATTTCAAGTTTGGCCAGTAACGGATTGAGGGGGGGGGGGGGGGGGGGGGGGAGGGGGAGTGCAAACCCCCCTGTGCAGCTGCTGACTCCTGAATTGATACTAGTAAAATGGGGCCAAAAATAATATATGGAATGGCCTTAATAAGCCTCAAGATGCCTTAGAATGCAGGAGAAGGCATTGGACTTTTCAAAACTTTTCGGGGGGGGGGGGGAGGGGGGGACATGCCTTGACCCTCTAGCAAGGCATACCTTCGGCACGCCTTCACTCAACCCTCCCCTTTCCCCATTTTCTGAAAGCTAGATCTGCCCCTGTAGGCCTATCTTCAACGTAGGCATTATCTCATCAAACCATGCAAACATGGTACGTGCGTCACAATCTGGAATCTGGACTGAATAAACGTCAAAAGTTAGTGATGATATATTACTACAAGGGCAATTAGTAACACTTGATAATGAACTTGACCCCAATGAAGCACAGGTGCTATAGACTAACTGGGTCCAAGTTCAATTGAGTAGTAAATGTCTTTCAGAAAAAAAAGGTGCATGTATCCAGGACCATGTGCAGCATGTAGGATTCTAACCAGGTCTCAAGCCTACATGTGTGGTCTGATACAATTCACCATTTTTTGGAGCAAAGTTGAAACAACTGCCGAGATGAACTCTGCTGACTTACCAGAATGAAGTGCATGCCCCTGTAGAGCCTACTGCAGCACACCAACAGTGTCCAGTTGCACGCCAGAACAAACCCCAGCAAGTGTGGATACTGTGGGGGCCAAAATTCATTAACTTCGATGAAGTGACTTTTTTTTTACAAGTTCTGTTAATGTTGCATCCTGTTTTCACAGAAGGCAAAGACAAAACAGGAGAAGAAACATTAGTTCATTTTTTTGCCCGGTCCAAATATATGTCCAAGCATGGTCAGAGATGCATGGGAGAAAGGGGCAAATCAATTTGTTTTTTGCACATACATGTACATGTACTTGTACTTGAGGGCTATTGGGCTTGGAGCTCCTTAGCGTATAGGGAAAGGGAAACATTTCAAGTAGAGGCCTACTGTAATTCATTTATTTTTTGCAACTCAAAAATATCTTTCAATCATCAAAACATTGCTTTTGATTTTAACAGCCAAAAAATAATATGTGTACTCTTTTGTTGATCCTTGCACAATATTTGAGAATGAAGTAGTAAAATGCTATCCCCCTCCCCTTTGTTTTACTGCCTTTTGCTGCAAAGCTCCAACATTGTGAAAATTACATCTTTCCTCCCCCGTACGTTTCAAAATGATGTCTTTTGCATCACCCTTTTTCAATCCCCTTCTACCAAGAGGGGAAACAATGTTGCATCCTGATGCCACTTTTTTTCATATCTCAATGAAGGTCAGTCATTGCAGAACTTGTTAAAAGCCACAAATCTGGGGCTGAGAAACATTTCCAATTTTGTTAGAAAATACTTTGAAGATGAACTCAACTCTCCATAGACTTTTCACAACCATTTGAAGAAGTGGCGTCAGGGTGCCACATTCTTTCCCAAAGAGGATATAGGTCTAGTGCCACTTGTGACTACTAAGGCAATTCTGTAAATTCGGACATAGGGCCTACATGCCAGACACTTTTTAATGAGCTACTGTTGCAAAAGTGAATGTGATACATATCTCAAGTTAGCGATGATGTATCCGGCAGGATATTTTGCTGACTTAACCAATGGAGATGGAGATCTCATGAGTAGAAACCAATTAGTATAGGCCTACATACCAAACTAAGGTACCACCACCTTAACGACCTTGGTCAGACGTACGTTGGATTTTACGGAATTGCCCACTGACTGATTCATGATTTGGTAGTAAAACACTAATTTATCCTTACCTCATAGTGATTCCATGTACTAACAAGAAGAGTGAATGGCATGAGAGTGCCAACTACAGCATGGGTAGACGGCATGCCATACTCCCTGTTGTATCGGCTCTCCAAGCGAACAACGGGGGGCTCCCGTGGACGAGGCCAACGCAAGATTTCCTTGCACGCCTGGCCTACAAACATGCAGAAGCCCCACACCATCAACAGTCGCCGGGTGACCCACCAGGAAAAGTTGGCCACACCAAAACTGAAAATGAAGAAGTAGAACAAATCGTCGCCAAGCAGGGCACCGAAGGAGAAGATTCCATACCAGAACCAGCTGTGCACCCGATACCGGTCCGGAGGGTCTGGCCCGTCCGCCTCGGTAGGCCCTTCCTCCCGCTCCCGCTCCCCGCTGCTTTTCTCAGCCTCGGGCGCTTGGCGTCGTTGCTTCAGATGGAAGTAGGTCGTTCCTCGATCTTTTTCGTGGACATGATGATGATCTCCCGAGCCTGAGGTCAAATCATCATTCATCATGTCTCCATTCCCATTGGGAAGGTCCCCATTTCCCGCAGTTTTTGAGGCCAGTTCGAGACCGAAAAATCGTTGCAGCTGGGCCACGTATTCCTCATTGTAAAGTGGCAAGGAGGTTTCTGGAATCGCTTTCATTTTGAGAGGGATATCGCCCTAGTCGCCACCCTTCCCTCAAACTCCGCAAGCACACAAACCGTATCGATATCTCCGGCTGAAATCGAATCCAGGAGGTCAAAACAGTGACCTGGTCAGGTGCACGTGACAAACATCTCACTATACTAGGGCCTAATGGGCGTACAGTACAGCCACCAGACGTGCGTTATTCTAGCCTCCAATTCAGCCGTAAAAAAGCTACACCGTTCGATTGGCATTTGGTTTGGGTTTACCCGCCGAAATGAAAAACAAAAATAACCCAAATATTGCTCCAAGGCTCACAATATTTGTCTTTCAATAAACATTGGGCCAGCGGGATACAACAATTACTGCATGTGACAGTTGATACACCGACCAAAATAACTCCAGTTTCAATAAAAAATGATATCTGGGTGACCGTAAGGTCATGGCAAATTCTGCTAAATGCGCTTCAAAAATCTGCCAAATTCCCCAAATTACTCGAAATGCACCATGCAGATGTTGTAGTATTGCCTTAATTAAGGTTCAAATTACATTATAAACAATCTATAGTCACATAATGATGTTATGAAATTGAGTAAAGTTCAGGCAAAATGCGATTTCGTCACAACGAAGTCCGGTTCCCAGTGAACCTTGGCACGTACCTAGACCAGCCAACCTGTACAATTATGCAAGGGTTTGTTTGAAAAGACTGAAGCTTTTGTAAACAAATGTACTATTTTTTCCTTCAAATTTGATATGTTTTTATTTACTATAACTATTTTGCAGAATTCTGCCGGAAATCTGCCCAAAAAAATTAATTCTGTCAACTTTTCTGTCAAACTCTTTTTTTTTTGTAACAAAATAATCTGTCAAAGTTAGCCGAAAATCGGCTAAAACGGTCACAATGCGTGAATTTGGTACCCATCTTCCGAATGGGGGCGCTCTTCAAAACTGACCATTATTTCTGAAAATGTATGCCGATTTTCACGGCGCATTGTAATGGTTTTGGAGCTTGGTTTTCTTGGGCTTTTTTTCCATGTCAGAACTCTCTAACCATTTATGGAAAAAATACAGGGCAAAAAATCATCGTTCAAAAAAAAAAATCGCGGGGGGGGGGGGGAGGGGAACAGTGCCCTCCCCAGTTCCCAGAGCCCTTTTGGACAGTAGGTAGAAGCGAAGTTCATAATTTATAGTAACTAAGGACTTTCTGCTGAGTTGTACAATAAAGATGATTTTTAAATGTTGCGTCTTTGGTAAATTTTAACAATATTCAATAAAATTGTACTTTTTCCTGATTTTGTAAATTTCTCCTCTCCATGTCTGCCAAAAGATACCGTCTATCTTTTAAACATTGGTCTCTAATGATGTTCTGTCCATGGAGGTTCAGTTGTCTAGTTCCCATTTCACTGCTGCAAAAGTTAAAGACATTTGCGGAACGGTATTCCCACCGCGAAATCGTTAATATCTACATGTATACGGAATGCAAATAAGGACTAGCATACTTTTTAAAAAAAATATGATATAAACGGCGCTCTGTATAAAAAAAAAAAAGTACGCGCCTGCGCCCCCAATCGTCAATCGGTAGACTTGTCTCGATGATCATTTTGTTTGTCCAATCCTTCAGCAGCGGCGGCGAAACGGTTTTCAAACTGGGGGGGGGGGGGGCATCACCGAAAAATGGCACTTGTTAAGCATTTTTTGGGGCACATCCTTGCAGAAATGTCGGGGGGGGGGGCTGGTACCATCTTCCAAAATTTTCCGCGGTAGCTACAACATTGATCTCGATTGCCGCACCACCTGAAACGTCAAGTTGTACCAAGGAGCACCAAGAAATGGAAAAATTGCACAAAGGCAAGTGATGGAGGGCACCAAGGCAAATGATGGAGGACACTGAGGTATATGAGGACACAATGAAACAAAGTATACCCACCTTGTCTGTACAATCCAAGCTTGAAAAAACCCCGCGTCGCTGCATCAATTCCGGACTATTGGACCTTCGGAATAACGAACCTTCGGACTAATGACCCTTCAGATTAAAGAACCTTTGGACAATCGGGCTGTAACCGGTCTGCCCCCCCCCCCCCCCCATCCATAAAGTTTGTGATTCTCCTTCCAACCCTTCATGTTTGTGTGTCCCCTACATGTTTGTTTCTTGTTCCTCTGTCATTGCATTTACCTCTGAAGAAGGCCTGGCTAAGGCTGAAATGTAATGCCACTTTATTTTTGTTTAATGTCAATAACGTTACATATACTATAGAAGATCGATGAACCATATTTGCCTGATCTATCTTCTGTTAATCTGCCCGCTGTCATCATCGCCATTAGCCTATTTGAGAATATGGCCGACACAATAGAAGGGCGCTGTCACAAACTGAATGTGGTGGGCGAGATGTTCTTTTAGGATTTATGGCTCAGTGCCCACGCCTCTCTGTGTTTGTACCGTGCTAGCCTTTAGTCAAGTCACACGCACTTACCCGGACACGTGACACACCCTGGATGCTGACACGTAAAAAGACTAGCACGAGCGGCAAAGCCGCGAGGGCCCAACCTCGTCCCCAGTGCTTACTTTATTTCCAACGTTGTTTCCAATAGTAAACCCTGGATAGGAAACTTCCTTCCTGCATCCTGATTCGATACCGCAATTGGCTAGAAATGGATTTATATCGTGTACTTGGTGTTGTTATTCACAACGTGCAGTACGTGTTTTCGCAATCATTCGTCCACGCCTTCTCAAAAATATTCATTTCCTTTCCAGTTTGTTAATATTAATATGAAATGTGATACTGCATGTTGTCTCGTTAAGATCGTAACAGTTTAATTAAAATAAAATCATGTTTTTGTAACTCACGCCATGCTCGCGCTGCGACGAATTGATTCTGTTTTTACCCCAGACACCGCATACAAAAACAAACGCAAATGTAACGCACAGGCAGGTACCAGACTACTCCTAATTTGCAAAAATCTTGCACATGAATATGATCCAATACCAGGGTGAGAGAGCAGGTAGTGGTGGGCGCGTACTGCTCGACACCCTGGGGACGAGGTTGGCGAGGGCCTTTACCATCTCGCGGAGAACGCTTATGTTTTTCTTTACATTTGTCTACCGATTTAGTAGACATGCATAATGCATTACCCGTTGTGAATTGACCAATGAAAATGCAGAATTACTAAAGTAAATCAGCCGTCGTCTGGCACCAGACATGTCGACAGCACGCGCGCCATGGCCCGCGTGCTGTTGCTGGTAACCGCAAACCACCGTTAGATGATTGATTTAAATTGCTTGATAATTTTATATTACGTGAATAAATGAATAAGTCATTAGTTCCACGAGATAGTAAAGGCCCTCGCGGCTTCGCCGCTCGTGCTAGTCTTTTTACGTGCCAGCATCCGGGATGCGTTACGTGTCCGGATGGTCCGAGTATAGGCGCGTGGGACTTGACTAAAGGCTAGTACCGTGCCAGCGTATCGCCCGCATCGGCTACCAGTTTGCCGGGCGATTTACTTAAATATTTTAGTGATTTACAAGTATTGCATTGCCAATATTTTAATCGTTTAATGTGATGGCTGTACACATTATATAGCGATTAATGGAACAAAAGTCTTCTCGACGCGTGCAAACGCAATTGACATTTAGGAAGGAGACGAGGCAGACAATTAGAATCTATTTTTGTGTGACTATGGCAGTAGCTCAGTTTGTGTTTATCACAGATGAAAAGATAAATATATGGCGAGCCAAAAAGAAAGTGACCGTATGATAAAAAAAAAAAGAAATGGCACGCTCCATTTTGTAAAATAATATAAGCGGGATAAAGAACATGTTATCGAGTAGTAACTGTGAAAATGTTACGTAATTTGCATACTCTATTCCCAAGTCGTGTCTATTTTAATAAAGAGATCACAAAATTCAGCTGTCCACCACTAATAACAAATTTACCGTTCTACGAATTGATGAATATCCATTAATGAATATAATGAAAAAAAAAACGCTTTCCCGCCTCCACGAATAAAGGAAAAATCGAAAAGGAAAATAGAAAAAAAAAATCGGCAATATTTCTGGGGAAAAGAGTTGAATTGTTCCCCATATTCAAAACACAAAATCTAACGGTAACAATAATGTTTCAGTCTTGATTCATAAGATTTAAGTTTGTATTTGGAATCAATGAGGATGGCTATAAAGTGCTTGTTTCAACAGACCATCCCACAATAAAAACGAGAAATAAGAAGAGGAACAATGGTTATTGGACTATGCCTCACTCACTAGAAAGTGAAGAGAGACATGTCTATTAGCATCACACTGCAGTCACATTTGCTTTAAACTGATTCTTTACTAAACCCTAAAAGGGCCGGGGGGGGGGCGGAATCCGCCCCCTCACTTTTTGGCTGCTGGTCTCGACTCGAGACCAGCCAAAATATCGAGACCAAAGGGGACCGAGACCGAGACCAAGACCGAGACCACAGCTCCCGAGACCGAGACCAGCAAAAAGTGGTTTCGAGACCGAGACCGAGACCGGTCTCGAGACGAGACCTACAACACTGTTATTTAGGGCCTGCCGTATCTAACCAATTTATTTTGTGTTCTACTGATCCCCTTCTGTCAGAAGTACGTAGAAAGAGCCGTTTCTGAAACAAATGACCTACATTTAAATTTAAGAGAACTTCTGAGGACCCTCAAACATGTCTACAACGAAAAAGTTTGAGGCACCGTCTCGTGTCTGTACCGAACTTCCACACACAAATATAGGCCTATAGTAGTAAAATCGAGAAACTTTCATAGGTGCCGCTCCCGTATCAGACGGCCTTCGCACGTGCTTCGCGTATCACATGCCCTGCATCACTTATGAAAGGGCGCAAAAAGTGATGACGTCACACGCACAATCCATACGGATACATGACAGGGGCTTGAATTTTGAGCTTGCCGAATCAATACAGCGTCCCGTCCTACATGTAGGCCTATAGGCCTTTTCTTTCGGAATATTCATTCCCTCTTCACGAAAGTAATAAAAATGCAATAGGCCTACTAAAAGGAATACAAAAAGCCCAGTATAGGTGGCAAAAACTATTAAACAAAAAAAACAGGGGTGGCTGAAGGGGGCGATTGGGGTGGCTACCTCCGCCCCCCCCCCCGCTCCCAACGGTTGACCAATG